CTCCCAACTCCAGGGTCTCAAGCCCCAAGCACTTTTCTTTTTTAAGGTAAATATTATTGCGAGCTCTCACATTCTCCTGGGCAAAACCCCATGCAGTTGTTTTAATGTACATTTTATTGCAGTGTAAAGTGTATATAAGAGGTGCACAGGGCACGGCTGGATGAATGTTCACACACTGCACAAGCCTGTGTAAGCAGCAGCCAGACCAGAAACAGAACACGAGCCGCACCCGGGTTGACATCCCAGCTCCGGCAAGCCACCACCCCCAATCCACCCACCCAAGGCAGCCACGCTCCTGATTCTAACACCAGATTAGTTTTGCCTATTTTTATGCTTTATATAAATGTCAGCATAGAGAATGTACTCTTTTGTGTCTGGTTTCTTTTCACTCATCACGATATCATCATGTTAGTGAGATTCATCAGTTTTTGCCTCTGGGTCAAGAGTCTCATTTCTGTATAGTATTTCCTTGTATGTATATACCATAATTTGTTTATTTGTATATTTTCATGGAAGTTTAGGTAGCTTCTAGTTCTCCGGTTGTTACAGAAAGTGCTGGTGTGACCATTCTAGTACAAGTTTTTTCGTGGACACCTTTGCATTTCTGTGGCTAAATGCTTAGGACTGGAATTGCTGGATCATAGGAAGACATATGTTCCGTTTTCTTAAACATGGCCAAAGAGATTACCAAAGTACTGTACCTGTTTACCCTTTCAACAGCCAAGTATGAGAATTCCTGTGGCTCCAAGACTAAAGATTTATTGAAGACCTACTCTGTACAGTGAACAGAATACACTGAGCCCCTCCCTATACTCAAGGAGTTCTAGCAGACAGACAGTATGCACATTGATAAATACCTAAACAAGTAATGCCAAATGATGGTAAGCACTGGCAAAGCAATAAAACTGGGCCATGGGATGGGGGAGAACACTTAAAATGGGCAGGTCAGAGAGGGCCAAGAGAAGGTGACAATTGAACCTAGACTTCAAAAATAAAAAGGCATTCTGCATGAAAACAGGCCGTCATCAAGGTGCCCCAACTCTTTCACCTTTTTCTGCCTCCCAGTTTACTGGGCTTCCTGACTTGGGGAGACCAGGTTCTAGTTTCCAAGGTCTTCACATTCAGTGTGCAGCTGCTTGGGTGGGAATATCTCCAGAAAGCACCTGGCTGCACCACCTATCTCTCCTGGCCTCTGAATTCCCAGGCACTTCCCTTCTAGGGTATTTCCACCCTTGATTGTATAATTAGTGATCACTATGCTTTAGCCTGCACGCCACATTTTGCCAAGTACTTTACCACTCTAAAAAATATTTCTGACTTCCAGTCATTGATGAGGTAGCCTGCTATTAGACACTACACAGAGTTCCCATAAAGGAAACAGACAGCATGAAAACATCAACATGCCCAAGGCCAATAGGTAAGTCAGGAAAAGATCACAGGCGGCTCTGGCCAGTTCCAGGCACTGAGGAATTTACCTAACTCACTTCAAGTCACAAAGGTAACTAGGGGAATCTAGATACAAACCCAGAAATGTCTGACTTTGAAACCCAGTGTCTCAGTCAGGTTCTCTAGACACAGAATATATGACCAAGACTCTTACTGAAGTGATTTTTGTACAAAGTGTTCAGGAGAAGAGAAGGGAAGCAGGATACAGCAGGTGGGAAACTGAGCAAGAATATGATCTCAACTGGAGACTGGCGTTCGTCAGTCTAGACAGGGAATATGAATTGCATCAAAGAGTTAGTCTCACTTCAAAGCAAAGGGGAGACTTTTGTATCCACAGTCATCCAGTCCTTGCCACTTGTTTAGAGAAGGGGACATCTATGAACACTTTGAGAGATCAAGTATTAAACCAAGGAAATGATTTTTTAATGCAATAGTTCTTAAATGTTTTGGTATCAGTATCTCTTAACACTCGCAAAAAAGTATCGAGGATCCCAAAGAGCTTTGATTCTGTGGGTTATGTCTATCAATATTTATAGCATTAAAATGGAAACTGAGAAATGTTTACGATTTTAAAAAAATAATTCATTTAAAAATAGTGGTAAACTGTTACATGTGAATGTAAATAACACATTTTTATTAAAAATAACTATGTTTTCCAAAATAAGAGTGTATTTTGTGAAAAGAATGTCATTATTTTACATTTTTGCGCATTTTTAAATGTCTAGTTTAATAGAAGACAGCAGGAGCTGTTTCTGCGTCCAATCTGCCACACTATATTGTTAGGGTTGAGTAATATAAAAAAAATCTGGCCTCACCCAGATCAAAAAAGGAAGATCATATGGACCCCTGGAAATGGTCTTGGGTACCCCCCCAGGGGTCTTTGAATCACTTTTGATGACTGCTGATCTAATTGTTAAATTTCAGGCTCAGAACAAAGATGAAGAAACAATGAGCTTCAAATCCTTGGCCCATCCAATTGTATAAGTAAGAATATTTTAGAATTCGATTACTCCAATGAGCTAAATGGTCGTTCTATAAAGTAAAAATAAAAATTATGTTGTGGCATTTGAAACCCCACCCCTGCTCTTTTAAACCTCAGTCACTGCCAGCCCACTGATTTTCCAAATCCCAACTTAAGATTTTTCAATACTATTTATTCATTCAGCAAATATTTATTAAGTGTCTACTATGTACCAGACACCGTGCTAGATACTGGAAACATCACATCATGAAAACTATTCAAGTCACTGCCTCCATTGCGCTTACAATTTAGTGGAAGACACAGGCTGTGCTAAATATGGGGATAGAGAAATAGACGGTGCCGCAGGGGATCCTGGGAGATTTCCTACAGAGTCAGGGAAGTCTTTCCTGAGTAAGTTCGGGGGGGGGGGGGGGGGGGGGGGGGGGGGGGCACGTGCTGAAGGAGTACTAGATGTTAACTCAGCAGCCGCGGGATGGGAATAGGGAGCTCAGATAGCAAGGCTGAAAATGTATTAAATCAGGCCAGAAATGAGGCCCATAGGCCATATCAACAATTTGGGTCATTCTCCTAAAAGAAACAAAAAGCCAGTTTTAAGAGAAAAGGCTTGGATGTGGGTGAAGCCATTCAGAAGAATTTAGTGTAGTTTAGTGTTAGTTTAGGCAAGACAAGGCAGGAGCTACAGTTCACATGGTTGGGGGGAGAGCAAGACAAGTGCACAGATTTGAGAGATGTCAGGAGGTGAAATGAAAGACCAAGTGCTGGGCTAGATGTTGAGGAAAGGGAAGATTACCGCATTGCTGCAAACATCTACTGGATACCTCCTACATGCCAGCCACCATATTCTGCTCTGATGTCACGTCAGAATAGCTATTCGGATTGTACTTGACTAGGAGGGACAGAAAAATGAAACCTAAACATTGCTCAGACAAGACAGAAGGTTTTTTTGTTTGTTTGTTTTCTTTCCATCTTCTCTCACTGAAAAGTCTAGACGCCTCAGGGTCAGGAGGCTCGTCCACAAAATCCTCAGGATTCAAGACCCTTCAACTTTATTGCTCCCCCTTATTGCTGCTCCATTTCCAAGGTCCCCAAGATGGCTGCTCCAGCTCGGGCCATTATACTGCACTGGCATTAGAGTCGTAGCCATCAGGAAGAGGAGAAGAATGAAAAATAAGGGACAACACATAAGAAAATTCCCCAAAGCAACCATATACTATGACTGTTTAAATCCATTGCTCAGATGGATTCACCTAACCCAGAAAAGCTGCAAGACGTGCTAGGAAACAGCCTTCACTCTTGGCAGCTGCGAGTGCAGCTAGACATTCTAGCACTTGGAATAAGGGGAGAAGGGTATTGAGGGACAACCCACATTTTACACAAACATGGAATTAGACACAGGTGTTGCACTTTTAAAGGCTTCCAACTATTCAAGTTCAACGGTTTCCATCTTTTGAATCTCAGTGTTCCTTGTCTGTCAAACATGAGGGTTCCTACCAAGTGACCTTTATAATTTCCTCCAGCTCTAGAGTACTATAATTCTATATACAATTAATTCCCTTACAATAAAGGCCTTTATAACGATTCATTTGCCACAAGAATTTATTATATTTGATTTGTTACAAACCAATATATTTTGCTGAAGACATATATGACTCATTTCTACAAAGATTCTCTTTGCTAACATTGGATTAACTGGAATCAGTCAAACATGATGTTTTGCTGGCTCTTCATGTATTTGATGCATTTATTTTGTGGAAAATAAAATATTCAAACAGTGGGGAAAATCTAAACTTTTTATGGTTGTTTGAATTTACCACGTGGTCTGAAAACATTAGAAATAAGTATCACTTCTTTTAAGGAAACAAAAAAACAAACACTTCTTCAATTAAAAAAGTTCTTAGTTACGAGCATTTTCAATGGTGAGTAGAACAATCAGAAATTATTCAATATTGTT